AAAAAAAAAAAAAAAAAAAAAAAGAGACCACATGAAAGGAACACATCTTTTGTCCAAAAGTTTCATGATCTAAACCCATCATTGATAGTGCCTTCATTTTGATTTTCCTTTATTTGTCGACGGCCGTTTTTGCGGTTTTTTCTTCAAAGATTTCTTGCCAGGTTTCAACTTGCTCGAGGTCGACGATTGTCCGCCTTGCTTTCTTTGTTTCTTCTCCTTCTTCACATTGTACATGTTCACAGCCTGCATTTCGACACGAGCCAAACAAGTTCAACAAACTATTATTTGGATTAAAAATCGATAGAAAAAAATTCACTCGCCGAATAAGATTGTACCTTTTCCACATTGAGTATCTCGTGCGAGTGTTTCGAAATCAGTTTGTTCAAGACTTTCTCGGTTTGCTGTCTCTCCATTGCACCCATTCCCGACCCTTCTACAGCTGGCAAAAACTGCATAACAATGGTTTTAAAAAACAATGAATCCACCATCTATATTGAACAAGAAAAAGAAAAACTACTTTTGAGGCTAAATTACAAAAATCACCTCCGGTTTTAGTATAAGCTCGACAAACTAAATACCCATGTTTTTCAAGGGGCAGTTTTTTAAATAGGACTAATGTGACCGATTCTCAATTTTAGGGAACTTCTCTTTTACATAAAAAAAAAAAATAAAATAAAAAAGAACCTTGACGGTAGTTTGAATAAGGAAAGCACTACTTTCAAGGTTATATTACAAAAACCCCCTTCGGGTTTTGCAGTAGCTCGACAAAGTAAAGCCCATGTTTCATGTGGCAGTTTTTTTTAACTAGAAATAAATATACTGATTCTCAAATTCAGGACTTCTTTTACATAAAAATGAATCCTGAGGGTAGTTTGTGCAATTAACCCGTAAATTTTGCAAAAAGAGATGAGGTAAACCTTCCTATATTTCTTCTCATGCTTTGGGGGCTTTTCTCCGTCTAATTTCTTGTCGAATTTCCCACCACTGGCTGTTGAAGTTGCCGCCAAACCAGCAACATTTTGTAGTTCAGCTTTGCTAACTTTCTTGGGATTTGCTTTTGTTCCAGTTATAGGTAAAGCGGTGGCTGCAAGTTGAATATGGCTGCAAAACACGAACAGAACTCAGATACTCGCATTTACTTTCACGGCAAAAACCGTGCTAATGGAAACTTTAAATCCTATTTTCGGCAAGTTAAATGCAAGAAAAGTGCACACGACAGCATAAGTTCAATAAAATTCAGAATCACATGATAAGAGGTTGAGCTACGCCGCAGCTCAAACTGTTAAAAAGCAAAAAAACAATTGAACAAGGAATACCAGACGAGTCTAAAAAAAGTCGCATGAAAAAAGCAAAAAGAATCTCGTGACAGGTGTAGAAAAAAAACCTTGGCAAGGCGCCAACTTTCTGTGCTTGTTTCAGGTTAGCCAATCGATTTTTTTCCTGTTTCTCAACTCTACTTTTCTTCTCTTTACGTCTCTCGGCAAAAGGATCTGTTCCTGGTTCTGGAAAAGTTAAAAAAAAAAAAATGTGATTAATGAGAATCTCAATAGATGCAACACTTTTGGGCAAAAAAAGTAAATGCTTTAAATAATGAGAAACAGATAGAAAGTCCAGTATGCAGTCTAAATCAACCTATAACTAATATAATACAAATAAAATTCTTTTCTCCAATCAAGTTTTTAAGATACCCGGCAGTCACTGTCTTATTTACATCAAACTAAGTTCAAAGTTTTTGCTATCATACACAGAAAAAAAAAAAGGTTGCTGGAGGGAGGGGAAAAAAGAAACAGAAAAAAGATTTGCTAATCGGAATCAAATTATTTTACAACTGGAAATTAAATAGCAATAATACTGAAAATTACATACCATCAGTGGCCTTGGCCTCGATGATTGGAATGTCATTGTCATCATTAACACGGTCGTAACCATGGCGGCGTTTCCAGGTACCAGTTTGCTCGTCAAAAACCAATTTTTCTTTATTTCTCTTCTGAATACCTGCATTATTTCATAAACGAAAAGTTAGAAAATGTGAACTGTAAATCAAGCGAAGGAACAATTAAGTTCTCTGTTTCTAGTAGATGGGAAAGAAAAACAAACCTTTCTTCTGGGCAAACACTTCCCATTTTGTCGGAGGCCTAGGCTTTGGAAGCTGAACGCCAAATTGACGAAGAAAATTTCAGATAATGTAGTAACATAAAGTCGGATAACACAAAACCCTCGATAGTATGCAGCATGTAAAGATTTGCAAGCCTATAAGACTACTACTTTTAGCATAATCTCCATGAACCAAAAACAAAAGAGTAGTCAGCAAAAGTTTCATATTAGTTTTCAGCTACACACGGGATTAAAGATAGTCAAAGACAAACCAAGAAACCAATCTTGATAAAAATTCTAGCATCCAAGTTAATAATGTCCATTCCTTTAATTATGCAACAAATAACTACGACAACACCCTGCATAATTCCTCCAAAACACACACACACCCACACACACGAAACAAACAAATAGCTTAAAAAGATCGCTTATCTTGCCATTGGGCAAGCTTCACTTTGTCCTAAATTACTTGCCGGCTTAAAACAAGATTAAAGGTAGTCAAAGACAAGCCAAAAATCCAATCTTGATAGGCATTCTTCAAGACTTCAACCAAGTAAACAA